GGCTGTGGTTGTTATGTCTGTCGCAAAGATATCTGAGTCGCCTTCGTCACAGCTTATGGGTGAGAAGAGCACACTGCCGATCCCTTTCCAGGACTGTATTCGCCTACAAGATAATACCATATACCGCACCATCAATGTGGCCGTGGAGCAAAACGAGACGGGGCCTGGCTGTGTCCTGGCTATTCAAGGTTTTGGGATAATGAGAGTTGTGTCGCACCTGGCAAACGACCAAGAGATCGAGATCGAGGACGTAGTCACCCAGCTGAGCGCGAAGACGAGGATCGAACAAGCCATTTTCTTCGGCACAAAACATGCCAACCCACTGGATCTGAGGCGGCCATATCGTGAGGCTTACTCCTTACACGAGATCTATGAAGCTGTAGGTGACATCAGCAAGGAAATACTTGAGTCGAAGTCACAACACATCTCGAAGTCCTCACCGTCTACCGCCGATCACCTCCAGCAACGTATCAAAGCAATGCAAGATTTAGTCGAGTACGTCTTGAGAACGTATCCGGCTTGTTTAGACAGATCTCTGAGACTTACTCTTCTGAGCAATGCTGAAAAGGTAGCTGCTGCTCAAGCAATATGGAAGGCCCAGGAGAAAATTCTCACTACATATCCTCGTAAAGACGACCGCGAGTTCTCTTGGCTGGAATTTGCTCTCCGTGCACTTTCAGAGAAGTATCAGAAGTATCCAGATCCGGAGAAAGGCGAAACCGATCACGTACGATTCTGGCTCATCCACAGCCTGTTTGGTATCCATCATCTATTGAAAGAGCTTGCGGACTCCATGGGAGAACTCGAGGAGATGCACCTCAATGATCCGAGAATAATCTGCGACTATTTTGTGGAAGGCATCGATATCTGGAGTGCGGCCCTGCAATCAGCATTCAAGTTCCGCGAAAATAACGCTTCTCTCTATGGCTTAGGCAACGAAGCATTCAAGGATGGCGTGCTTCTATCAGGCTATCCAGTCACTATAGAGTCGCTTGCCCCATGGACTTCTGGCCTGGAGCTATTGCAACATGGTCAGGGTTATGTCCGAGCCGTCACCGCATATCTCGGAGAGTGGTGGGACTACTCTTCTATACAACAAAACGGCACAGGCAATCACAAAGCTAAAAACCACAAAGCCATGCCTACCAACATGGAAGGTGAACCTTACGATGCACCTTCCAGAGCATCGTTGGTCGACTTGGCCGATCGACTGCCTCGGGTAGTCGAGCTTCTTAATCGAATGACTACAGAGTCAAACATACAGCACAAAGTCCATGTCGGTACCAGCGATCAGAGCCAAGAAGAGAAGAAGAGAAGCTTCAAAGCTTTGGATGCGGAAGCACGGACTGTTATCAGAGAAGATGTTCGTCAGATTTCACCGTACAATCGCGACGGATCGATCGGACTGGCTGAGGCACAGAAGGATAGCACCCTTCTTGTGGAGCTCAACCTTGCCTATCTGGCTGACCTGAGCCGCGAGTTGAAGCTACACCCCAAGGACGAAAGAGCGATTAAGCAGAGAATACGAGCCGTACAGGACCATGTCGAGACGTACTTCGAACGTTTCGGCAACGAGTGGGCTTATGCTCATTTCAGTAGCATGATCGAACGTGGCGAGCTTGGCCGCCTGATTGGCGAAGGACAAGCGGATGGAGGCAAGAAGCAGCCTTACATTACATGGTTCTTTGAAAATTGCTCGGAGCACAATAAGCGTCTAGGCAAGATTGCTTGGATCAACAGCGTCGTTGGCGAGAACAAATATGATGCAGCTTGTCGCACACTAGAGACTGTGGCTGAGACGCAAGAGGCTGACATCTGGTCGAAGAAGACCGAGTTCTGCCTGGCAAAGTTGGCAGGTCTCGCTGCTCTGGAGACTGGCAGCTCTGCCATCAATGAGACAAAGATCGACCACTTTGACTTCGAGCTCGAGTATCTCCGCATCATTGAGTCTGTGGCAGCCTACATCAATGCTAGCCTTTTTGACGCTGTGGACGATGAAGCCGCTGTTCAGCTTGCTGTTGACCTATACATTCCGAAGAGTATCATGACCAACAAAAAGTCTGCACAGCTGAGAAAACACCTATCTCAGACACTGTACAAGCTGGTTACGAACCAGACGATCACCCTTGCCGAGCTAGTCGACGCTCTGACACTTCTGCAGCTGGAGCCACTAGATGCAAACCTCGATGTGGATGACATTTCTGATGAAATCTTCCCACTCGCTCTTCAGGCTATTGATCTGGCTTCTTCTCGGGATAACGGCACGCAACAGAAAGACATCCTACGCAAGACTGTTTGGCGACGCCTACTCATCAAGGATGATTGGTTGAAACTCAATCAGACCTCCGGCAAATCTGACGACCAAGTCAAGCAGGAGATGCAACGTTCTATACTATTCGAGACTCTCCTGGATCTGATCAGGCGGGCGGAAGATGATAGGATTGACATTCACATTCCAAGTGTCGAGAAAGTGATGGGCATCAGTGCCTCGCAGGAAGACAGAGTACCTGAAGAAGTCAAGGTCGAACATGCTACACTGAAGAAATATGTCGATAAGGCACGACTTGCTGAACACTTCGATGGTCTGGTAAAAGAGGCAAAGGACGAGTTGAGACGTTTCCGAGATCAGGAAGGCCAAGCAGTAGCAGATGAGGTTCTTGCTTCCGGCGAAGTGAACGGTGATACGAATGGCCACGTCAATGGCGATCATTCTTAGGGAGTTCGATCGAACATGACAGCCAGACGTGGTCGGAGGTCACGAACACCGTTGTACAACACGCTCTCTGCATATCCGCAGCAGCAAATCGTCGACACTACTGAGCAGCGTCAAATTAGTCAGACCATCAATGTTGACGGTGCCGCTCAACACTTGGACATCGAGCAAACCAAAAAGACACGTCAGATCACAAACGATAGCTGGTCGGCTGCTGCTACGGTGATCAGAAGAGATAGCTTCTCTCGAACCCGAAACGAGGACGACGAGGATTTCCTGATGGACGAGGATGAACAGGCTGAGGAAGGAGATGACCGGGACTCGGTGGTGACACAGATTCGAGTCGAGGAGGATGTCATTATGGCGGATTGAGATTGCAGCGACTTGTGTTTCTACTTTCAATTGCAAAATGGGTGTCTACGCGAGATGCCAAAACAGATGGCGCAGGATGTCATCGCGGACAACATATACAGAAATGAATGATGTACTATAGAGTTTGGCCAGGCATTTGCCTGGATACTGTGTTGGGACAATGCATGTGCGTGGCGAGACCAGTCTATCTGTTCCATGGAGTCGTTTCATAGCGCATTGATTTTGATAATGACATGACAGGGCAATTCATTTCTTGCTCGGCAGTTGGCACTCTTTACTCTTCTAGCCCTTCAGGGTCTAATGATCTATCACCAAGGCCGAAGATCACGATACTAACGCCCCATCCCTCCCTGGCATACAAACCTTCGTTACCAGCCAAGATCGCGTGAAGATTGCTTGTTCACGTCAAGCCTCACTTACTGGGGAACATCCCTGTCCGATCGTGTTTCGCCTGATAAGCGAGCCGTAGCCGAACCCTACACGGCCTACTTCGTCCCTATCGTTGACGACATTCTGGTTTCAGCGTGGCTGGCCGTGAACAGGTCTCAAGCATCAAGTGTGACTGACAGGACGGTGGCCACGATCGTAACTGACCAGTCAGGCGGTTTCGTGCTTCTCTTGAGCCGAGGAGGGTGATGTAGGTGGGAGGGTATAAGGATGTTCATGGCCCGTTGTGGTGAGATGGAGGAGAGCAGCAAGCAACACATCCATTCACTCTCTTCTCACATCCATCACTTTCATTCAACGACTCATTCATCGCTCTTCGGCGTCCATCCCAAAACCGAACCAGCACCAAAATGCATCTCCCCCTCCCCACCACAACCACAGCCCTCCTCGCCCTGCTATCCAGCACCTCCCTCGCCCTCCCCAACCCTCAACCACAATTCTCCTTCCCCGGTGGCACAGGCGGTTCCACCCGCAACGACCTCTCCGGCGTCTGCAAGCCCATAACCGTCATCTACGCCCGCGGCACCGGCGAGTCCGGCAACGTCGGGTCCGTCGCTGGGCCACCGTTCTTCTCTGCACTAGACAGCGCATTCGGTGCGGGCAATGTTGCGGTCCAGGGCGTTGACTACGCGGCTACTGCTGCTGGATTTGGGGGGGATCCGGCGGGGAACAGTAAGATGGCGGGATTGGTGGGGACGGCCGTGAGTAAGTGTCCGAAGACGCAGATCGTTGTATCTGGCTATAGGTATGTCCACTTCGCTTCGTACTAAACCTGGTTTTGGTTTGATGTGGCAGGGGTGCTAATGGTGTGTCTGTGTGTATAGCCAAGGCGCAATGCTCGTCCACAACTCAGCGTCTAGCTACAGTGCGGCTGGGAAGGCAGCGATCAAGGCTGCTGTTCTGTTTGGGGATCCGTATAATGGCCGGGCGATCCCGGGTATTTCGGCGGGAAATGTGAAGACTTTTTGTGCGGCGGGGGACAGTGTTTGTGCTGGGACGGCGATTATTACGCCGGCGCATTTGAGTTATGGGGGTAATGCGGGTGAGGCGGCGGCTTTTGTGAAGGGGAAGATTAGGTTGTAGGGGGTTTGGGTGGAATCTGGAAGGTGAGACGTGAGATGGTGGTGAAAATGGTAGGGGCCTTGGTTGGTAGAGCACTTGGTTGGTAGGGGTTTTGGATGGTAAGGATTTGTATGTTGCTTTTTGGGGTTTGTGGGTGAGATTGAGGTCGGCCGAGGAGGACGTGTACGGTTATTAGAAGGGGTCTGACTTACATTCGATTCGGGCATTCATTTAAGACCTTGTTATATCAGAACAATGAATTTGTCACCTTTGCATTTTGATCTTCACTCCACCTTCGGTCTTTACTCTACCTCTCCCGTGCCGAGCTCGGTCTGCAAGTCTTCTTATATTCACGCCCGCGTTTTAATCCTCAATGTTGTTGTCACTGGTGACGACGAGAAAAATTGGGCCTGTAGCTCAGTGGTAGAGTGTTCCCTTCGCATGACTGAAGCACGCAGACGTGTGGTGGTCTTAGGCCAGTCGTCCTTCGACTTTTGGTGGAGGTCGAACCAGTCGGTTTGGGAAAAGTCGTCCGTTCGAACCGGACCTGGTCCATTCATTTTTGTGTGAAGGCCCGATCTAGGAAGGAGGCCACATAAAAAGTGAGTTGAAGAGAGGAGGCAAGGTTCGTTTACGGGGACGAGAGCTAGTATGTTAGGTGGACTAAGTGATACTGTCATGTCACATCGATATTCATCCTTCTTGCGAAACAAACACTGTATGTAGTATTTCCGCATGGCTATCCAAGAGGCAGCTAACTTCAACTATATCCTCACCTCGAGATCGTGCTTCGTCGTTGACTTTTCAGCTCTTTCCTTCCACCAGTCAAAGTAACGGGGCGGGCCAGCACCTTCCTTGAGATGTAAACACATAAAAGCCTCTGCTGAAACGGCAGCTGGTGCGATTAGTAATAGTCTGAGTGAATGGTTTTCCAACCACCTCGTCACGGCTTGCACTATAGAAGAATGCATCACACCTCGTGTTATTGTAAGTTATCATGCTCGGTCGTCCTGACATTTCTTGATCTCCGATCAATCGATACCTGCTCCCCACAGGAAGAGGTCTCTCTTCATGGTGGGATTGTGTAGACTCAGTCCTAGACAAGTAACATCTATGTGTCATGCAGAATGGGGCATAAGCTGCTTAACTCGTACTTTTGTGGTTCTGAGGACGATATCGGAAGAAACTTTGGATCCGGAAATTGTCCAACTTGCATAAAGTAGCTGAGGAGTCAACCGTAGATATCTTGGCAAGAATCGGAACAGCATCTCGACATTTTTGCTTCCCACCAAGAGCTGCATGATATTTTGGAGAGGTCACATCAGCCTAACTTTTTCCACTTGGATCGCAAATCCCTTTCGTTTGCGCCTGTGCGGGCGCCCACTTTCACCACGTCTTCATTCAAGCTTAACATTGTTTTCTTTACTTCTATACGAAACTTTTCGAACTTCGCGGCAGGACCTGCGCTTCAACCTTGTACTAAATTCTCACCTCGAGTCCTCATCACACCTCTTCAAAGACGAACATACGCCAAGAAGAAAAAGATGCCTCCTAAGAAAGCTGTCAAAGAAGAAAAGGTCTACCTGGGTCGACCGGGAAACAACCTGAAGAGCGGTATCGTATGTAGGGCACCCTCTCAGCGCAACAGGACCAAATGCTAATAGATGTTCCCAGGTCGGTCTGGCTAATGTTGGCAAATCAACCCTGTTCCAATCGATCACCAAATGCCACCTGGGTAATCCCGCCAACTTTCCATTTGCTACCATCGACCCAGAAGAAGCAAAGGTCATAGTGCCAGATGCCAGATTTGACGCGCTATGCGAGATCTACAAGCCGAAATCCCAGGTTCCTGCCAACCTGACAGTCTACGACATTGCTGGTCTCACCAGAGGTGCCTCGACGGGTGCCGGTCTTGGTAATGCTTTCTTGTCACACATCAGAGCTGTCGATGCCATCTACCAGGTAGTAAGATGCTTCGACGATGCCGAGATTACCCACGTCGAGGGCGATGTCAACCCGACTCGAGATCTAGACATTATCGCAGATGAGCTAAGAATAAAGGATATCGAGTTTGTCGAGAAGTCCAAGGAAGCTCTCTCAAAGCAGACACGACGAGGTGGTCAGAGTCTGGAAATGAAGAAGCTGAAAGAGGAGGAGGCTACCGTCGACAAGATTCTAGCATGGTTGAAAGACGGCAAGGATGTCAGACAAGGTACATGGTCACCAAAAGAGGTATGTCAGACTACTGTCACAACCCTGTTCGCCAAATTTCATGATGAACAAGAGCTATACGCTCGAATAATCCCAGCTCGTCGAGCAATCTCACCTAAAACAACGCAACGAGATTGCATGAGAAGAAGTCCCATCTGATCAATCACAACCTTCCACTGTCCTCTACAAATGAAAAAGGAGAAACACAATTACTAACGGTATTGTTCAGGTCGAAGTCATTAACCCTCTATTCCTCCTCTCTGCGAAGCCAGTCGTTTATATGATCAACCTGAGCGAAAAGGACTACATAAGGCAGAAGAACAAGTACCTACCAAAGGTCATGGAATGGTTGAAAGAGCACGCAGCTGGCGATCCTGTCCTACCCATCTCCGTCTCCTTCGAAGAACGATTGGCACAATTCGAGACCCAAGCAGAAGTCGATGAAGAATGCAAAAAGCTCGGTGCGAAGTCTGCCCTGCCAAAGGCTATCACATCCATGAGACAGGTCCTCAACCTAGGCAGCTTCTTCACAACTGGAGAGGACGAAGTCAGGCAGTGGACGATCCGAAAGGGCACCAAGGCACCACAGGCTGCTGGTGTTATTCACGGCGATTTCGAGAAGACATTTATTCAGGTTATTGTCTATAACTACGATGTGCTGAAAGAATATGGAGATGAAGCTAAGGTCAAAGCTGCTGGCAAGGTCATGACGAAAGGCAAAGATTATGTTGTTGAAGATGGTGACATTATACTCATTAAGGCTGGCGCCGCTAAAGCATAGTTGGCCGCGTGGATGCGGTCCGGCGGCTACGGCTACGTTGAAACGTCAAACCACGATAACCCAATAAGACGAGACCGCTTTTGCACCACTGTTATCGACCGACTGACGGTTCTGCTCTTTCTTTGCAATGGTACCGAACAATATTGTTGAGCTAACCGCGGGCGCAGGCCACCTAACACACCATATGCAGGTTCTACTCTCCAACCCGGCAGGTCTCACTTCTTTCCGCGCGTCAGACAACGCTAACTTTGAAGTCGGCCGGGTAAGGCGTGTTCGCCAGACCATGAGGCGTCGTCGACTGCTTCTTCGGCGCCTGAAACGGTATCTGTAGCCACTTAAGCGCCATACCTCGATCGACGAAACACAAACGGACGCGAAACGAGATATCTGGACGTCGCACACGCTCGTGCGGGAAGGACCGAGCCATATTCCTTGTCCTTCGATGCGTAAAGGTCAGCCATGAACGGCCTGCTGGCAGATGTACTTCTCTCTCGTACCTGCCGCCTACGCCTATGGGCAAGACCAAACCTCATCGATGATTTGCATGCCTACCTATGACTGCCAGTTGTCTCGCCGGCCGCGATTCTCTCACATGGATATCCAACCAGACACAAGCAGATCCGAATGGCCTGGTCGGCTGGGTACCACAAAATGCAGGCAGAGGCACCCTTGACATCATCTGGTCGTGTTTTCTTACCATACTCATCTGTACATGGACGACCATACATCCTCGGATCCATACGTCTAGCCGTGTAGCACGATGGCACAAAGGTCTTCAGCTTGTCAAAATGCTTCTGGCGCCGGAGATGGTTTGCTTGGAATCTTTACAGGAATGGATACAGGCAAAGAAGCTTACACGTCGGGTCGATAAAGCAAACGGGGCACAACTTGACTCGAGTCAGGCTTTTTACCTTGGGATGATGGGCGTGCGATACCGGACATTGGTGGGCTGGAACGTGCTATGGCCTAGCCAATATGCTTGGCTGCTGAAGCAGAAACTCGTCGATTGGGACGACACCCTCAGCTCCTGGGGTTTGGACAAAAGAGCCATTCGAGACAAGAATAAAGCCGATGGGCTCGTTAAGCTCGCAACACTCTGGCAGGTCATCTGGTTCACGTTGCAGTGCATCACCCATGAGGCCAATGGTGTACCTATCGCACCACTCGAGGCCATGACGCTCGCTTATGTCGCCGTGGCTCTCACACATATGGCTTCTGGTGGAAGAAGCCCAAAGACGTTACAACAGCTTCTTTCGTCGAGTTACCGGAGATGACTGCGCTTCAGACCGCCACTTTCAATGCATTGTCTATGGAAGCCACATACGACACCAACGAGAACCGGCCCAGACCTTCGAAGAACATCGCTTGGTATCTGGTAGCCAGAGATTGTGAAGAGGAGAAGATTGCGCGTCTGCTGAACGACGATGCAGATCAGATTGGCCTGATCGAGGGCGCTCTCGATCTGTGTGGCGCTCAGACAAGAAAAGATACAACGAGCACTGAAACAACAGAGATATTCGAGTTTCGCAGGGCCGTGCCCCGTCCTAACACAATTCCCAGGCAAGATACAGCGGCAACAGACGCCAGAATCATCACCGAATGGGACTCAAGTCTGTATATGACAAAGTGGTGGCCTGCCATCTGCATACTGGGTGCTTTATTTGGAGCTCTCCATCTCATATCGTGGAACTCACTATTCCCGACCAACTTGGAGTTATGGTTATGGCGAGGAAGTGCTCTGGCGTCCATCATCACATCGATTCTATGAATGCAGTTCCGGACCATGTCATTGACGTGGGACGGTCCGCTGGCAATCATTCGTATTGGAAGTCCGCTGCTGTACGTCGTTAGCAGAGTGATCATGACTGCGCAAGTCTTCGCAGCACTGAGGGGCATGCCAGCGAAGACGTATGACACTTCTGCTGTATGGAGTTACTGGTTTCATTTCTCGTGAGGCGGGTTGTAACTAGTTATACATCAAGCCGGTTCCCTAAATAATTGGCCGGTTTTGCCAACCTCAGGTTTTAGGCATAACAGGCGTGATCAGCACTATTTTCTGGGCTCTACAGGCGCTAATGGTACCTAAGGTTCGGGCGCTCGCAAAGCCTAGTCTGCAAAACTGCTTTTGCCAGACCGGCCAGTTATTTAGGGAACCGGCTTGACATGTACAATGCACATTTCTTTTAGGGCTTATCTGAGCCGTCGAATTCAATGAATGTATGCACGATCGATGTCGGGTCAAGGCTCCACGTTAAACTTCACTGGCAGCTGTGCCCATGGTTTTTGTTCTTTGTATCTCGGAGCAGCACAGCAAGGTGAATTGCTCGGCTAAGCTGGTATACAACACCCGGTCTTAGCACTTAGGACGTGTTCTATGGTTGAACATGCCTGGTAGGCGTATGCTAGAAGCACCAGCAAGCATAAATCATTTACACTGATGTTCTGGAGTACGGAGGATGATCAGAATCAATTCCTCCTGCATATAGGCGCTGTAATAATGCCGAAGTATCTCCGGGCGTCTACTTGAAATCTAGGTGAAACACGGTTGTTCTTCTTTTCCTTG